CCTGAGCCGAGATCACACCACTGCACTCCAGCCTGTGCTACAGAGTAAGACTCTGTCTAAAGAAAAAAAAAAAAAAGTTCTTCAGGTGATTATGTGTGTGTCTTCAAACATTAGAACTGGGGATAAATACACAAAGTTAGAAATTTGTGTCATGACAATAAAAAGAGTAAACATTCATTCAGATGACAGAACTACTTCTGTGAAATGAATGACTAAAAACTAACATACATTACCTATGGGAGCTTTATAGTTACCTAAAGTTGTTAAAGTATCACGATCGAAACACTTTTTTTGTTGTTAGTTAATCCAGTGGAGGAGAAAAACATCTAATAATTCAAACAGTAAGAATGATATTCAGAATCCATCACCTTACTTCATACCACTAATTAGAACTGCAGGGTCAATTGCTTTATCTCACCGGAAAAAATAAACCCAGTGGTGGGGGCCGAAACATTTCTGTGGCTGACAGAAGAACTAGGTGGTGGCAGGGTGGCTGGTGATTGTGGCCTGCTCCCAAGTGGACATCCCGCTCCACACATGGTGATGGGAGTTAAGAGACCAAAGATTCCCGCCGTGTGGGACATACACACGTGGATTAAGAATCAGGTAATGGGCGGCTAAGCCTGCTTCTTCCTGCACTTCGTTACCTAAACTTTGCTCGTCCTCGGTGCATACGAGTCAATGGTTGTACTAGCGTTCATTGGTCTGTCACTTCCTCGTTGCTGCTTGTGGTCAGAAAACCCAGGCAACCACATGAAACAGCGTGGAAATGGCTTGGTTGGCCAGAACACTGATATTCCAAATTATTTTACAGTTCCCAGAGAATCATCAAGTTCTGTGTCTTTATTCCAGAATTCCTGTAGTCCTATCATGTCCTAATTTAAATGTTTAATTATTTAAAAGTATTAAATTCTACTTTATCAAGTTCGATAAAAACAAAAAAGGTAATCCATCGCTAAACATTTGTTTATGTTGAGGTAGGGGTCTTACTCCGTCACTCAGTCCGGAGCGCACTGGCGTGATCATGGCTCACTACAGACTCCATCTCCCAGGTGCAGGCGATCCTCTCAGCTCAGTCTCTTAAGTAGCTGGGACTACAGGTGTGCACCACACACACACACCTTTTTTTCAATTTTAGTAGAGATGAGGTATCACTATGTTGCCCAGGTGAGTCTCGAACTGAGCTCAAGCAATCCTCCTGCCTCAGTTTCCTAAAGTGCTGCAATTATAAGTGTGAGCCATCACACCCAGCCCACCTCTGAAAATTTAAATAGAAAAAGTCTCACTTGGCACATGGGAATTGGGGATGAATCAATAGGGAATGCCTGGCTTCATAGGATGACTTGACCCTAGTGGAGTTTTCTCTGGTCCAGAGCAAGCATGGGCAAACTATTACCAGTGGGATAATCTGGCTTGCCCTGTATTGTTGTAAGGCTTTGCAAGTTAAGAAAGGTTTTTAAGTGGTTAAAAAAATAAGATAAAAATATTTTGCAATATAAAAATCATATGAAATTCCTGGGTGCAGTGGCTCGTGTCTGTAATCCCAGCACTTTAGGAGGCTGAGGCGGGCAGATAACGAGATCAAGAGATCAAGACCATCCTGGCCAACATGGTGAAAACCTGTCCCTACCAAAAATACAAAAATTAGCCGAGGGTGGTGACACTGTAATCCCAGCTACTCGGGAGGCTGAGGCAGGAGAATGGCTTGAACCAGGGAGGTGGAGGTTGCAGGTACCTGATATTGCGCCACTGCACTCCAGCCTGGGTGTCAGAGCAAGACTCCGTCTTGGAAAAACAAAATTATATGAAATCCAACTGTCAGTGTTCTTGTGTAGTTGAATTGGGACATAGCCATACTCATTTATTTCCATACTGTCTGTGGCTGCTTTTGTACTAGAATGGCAGAGTTGAGTAGCTGCAACAAACACCATCTATTCTACAAAGCCTCAAATATTTACTATTTGGTCTTTTCCTGAAAATTTTTGCTTGTTCCTGCTCAAGAGTAGTGTTTCTCAAATTTTGGAAATGCCTGGGACAAGTACATACAAATTGTCTGGGATCTTGTTCGAATACAAATTCTTGATTTAGGAGGTCTATTCTGTATTTCCAACATGCTACCTGTGATACTCACGCTGCTGGCCTGAGGACCACACTTAAAGAAGGGAGGCGTTCAACTGTGACCTCATCATAAACACGCAAAGCCTAATGTCAGCCTGATCAAGAGCAGATCTTTTAGGAATGAACTCACATTAATTACATGCACAAGGTTGATGCAGAAGCCTAAAAATCTAATTTATTAACCCATCAATGAGAAACACAATAGGAACATTCTGTTCCTATAGACATGGTGCTTGATATGTTGAATTAGAGCAGAAGATTATTTTATCTCGCTCTGTCGCCAGGCTGAAGTGCAATGGCACAATCTCGGCTCACTGCAATTTCTGCCTCCCGGGTTCAAGCGATTCTCCTGCCTTGGCCTCCCAAGCAGCTAGGATTACAGGCATGTGCCACCACACCCAGCTAATTCTGTATTTTTCGTAGAGGTGTGGTTTCACCATGTTGGTCAGGCTGGTGATCTTCAACCTCAAACCCCTGACCTTCAGCCGCCCAAAGTGCTGGTATTACGGGCGTGAGTCACTTGGTCCTCCATGGGTCAATTTTGAGTGATAATTCGAAGAGTCCTGCTCTAGCCACGCTAGCCAGAGAGAACTGTCTCTGATTGCAGGAACTCGATTCCACTTCTAATTTACATCACATAGTGATTCCCTAGTCATGGTTTACTGCTTATTATTATTCCATGAAATTATGCCATGGCATTTTAAAAGATTTCCCTGCAAATTTCATTTTAAGTATGTCATAACTCTAAAATCAAGAGGAGCAGCATTGAGAGAGAACTGGACCTGTGTCCTAGTATTGATCACTGTGAGACCATGACCAAATCAGTGTCCTCATCAATAAAACATAGAGGAGAGATTCAGGAAGACAGGATTGCCATGGACCCTTCCAGTTTTTTTAAAATTTATTTTTTATACTTAAAGTGCTGGGGCACATGTGCAGACTGTGCAGTTTTGTTACATAGGTATACATGTGCCCTAGCGGTGGTTTGGGGCCTCCATCCCTTGTCATCTACATTAGGTATTTCTCCTAATGTTATCCCTCCCCAATCCCCCCACCCCACTGCTATTCCTCCCCTAGCCCCCTACCCTCCAGGCCCCGGTGTGTGATGTTCCCCTCCCTGTGTCCATGTGTTCTCATTGTTCAACACCCACCTATGAGTGAGAACATGTGGTGTTTGGTTTTCTGTTCTTGTGTCAGTTTGCTGAGAATGATGGTTTCCAGATTCGTCCATATCCCTGCAAAGGACATGAATTCATCATTTTTTTATGGCTGCATAGTATTCCATGGTGTATATGTGCCACATTTTCTTTATCCAGTCTATCATTGATGGGCATTTTGGTTGGTTCCAAGTCTTTGCTGTTGTGAACAGCACCACAACAAACATATGTGTACATGTGTCTTTATAATAGAATGATTTATAATCCTTTGGGTATATACACAGCAACGGGATCGCTGGGACCCTTCCAGGTTTTAACACTAAACCGAAATAAAATTTTTCTGTAAGATACACAAAAAAATGAGGTTCATTTTCTTATTGCCACACTGCTGGCCTGTGCTGCATATTATACTTTGGACCCTCATTGACTTTTATGTCTTTTTTTTCTGATATTCTTGTTACTCGTTGACAACTCTGTTCTCAATTTTCTTCATTAAAATAAGAACTCGTTAAGGCAGACATCTTATTCAATTTCGTATCCCCCAGCATTTTATATAAAAAGACCATCCAAGATATGTTAGTTGAATTAAATTAGCGTGGAAATACCCTCAAAACAAGTAAGTTTGGGATAGAAGAACCTTAAAAGGTTAGGAGGTTTCGACCTTGCACAGTAACATAGGATTGTGACAAGCCAGTTGACTGGATGTGTAGCAACTCCTGGTATCATACCGCATTAACTACCTTCTATAACATTATAAAATAATTATTCCTCAGGAAACCTGGAAAGAGTAGCTTGACTTTTCATTTATTAATGGTTCATTATATTTCTGATTAAAGCAACTTCTGATAATTCTATAATTAGATTCAATCTAAAGGATCAAGAAAATTTGTGTATTGTGATTAGAATTTTAACATTATTCATGGTTTGTAGAAAGGAAAATATCCCATCTGGAATAATGTCAATGTCATATCTATATATGCCTTGTTGGATTTAATAAAAATCTTTAAAAGTATTTTTTCTCCCCTTAATACATTTCCATTTATGTGCAATGTTTTTGATCAGAAAACTAAAAAGTAGCAGCGGGTGGGAATGAAGGGAGCCAAATATAGAATTGGTGCCAACAGATGCAAAAGTGCCATGGAAATCTTTGGCCCAGAAATAATAGCTTACCAAAATACACACACACACAGTTGTTGGACTCTTGAACAGATACACAGCCGTCTGTATAGACAACAGTGCTGTTGGCCAAGAGTCTCGGAGGCCGGCCAACCTCCCATCCAGATGCCACCGCCCGAGAGGAGCCATTTGGCTTCTAGTCCCCTGGCTGCCAACCTTCTCTCCCACTCTCTGGCATGAATTTTTACAGGGGCTGCTGAAGTGAATTAAGACCCTGAAGAGTTCTGTATTACTATGCCACAACAATACAGAACACAGTGCCACAGGAGCCCTTGATGCTGTTTGAATGTTTTTACCCGTCATTATTTTTTTAGGTGTCAAAGAAACCTGACTTCTAGGTATTTGGCCACAGATAAATGCCATTGCTTTGGAAATTAAGAGCGATATATTTTGATTTCTGCATGGAGCCAACTTTCCCCAACCCAGAAATACCTTGAGAGTTTTTAAAGAGCAAGCAATTGAAAACATACATGCCAAAAAATAAAACAAACAAACAAACAAAACTCAAAAGGAAAAAAGGAAAGAGAATAATAGATAAGAAAAGACCCTCTGCAGCCAATTAAGCTGACTGGGCTCCTTTCCCCATGGGGGCCCAGTGTGCAAGGGCTGCAAACAGCAGCTTCTTTGGTAGTGTAATGCAGTCTGTTTCTTGTATAGGTTGCTCCAAGGGCCCTTGGAGACAGGGCTTTTGGATGTATGTTCCTGTCTCTGACCTTGCACTATCCCAATGTAAGCTCCAAACAGGCGTGTGAGATGCCTTTGGAAAGCCCGGGGAACTGTGGCCAGGGTCCGCACTGGCCAAGTGATCATGTCCATCTGCGCCAAACTGCAGAACAAGGAGCATGTGATTGAGGCCCTGCGCGGGGCCAAGTTCAAGTTCCCTGGCCGCTAGAAGACCCACCTCTTAAAGATGTAGGGCTTCATCAAGTTCAATGGCGATGAATTTGAAGCCATGGTGCATGAGAAGCGGCTCATCCCAGATGGCTGTTGGGGAAGTACATCCCCGATCGTGGCCTTCTGGACAAGTGGCTGGCCCTGCACTCATGAGTGCTTCCACTGTGCTGCCCCCTCTTAAAATTCACCAATAAATTTACTTTCTGTCCAAAAAAAAAAAAAAAAACAAAAAAAACAAGAAGTAAAATGTTTTTTTGTGGGCGGAACAGTGAAAGACATTCTTCATATTTCTTCAGCCCTAGCAAAAGTGAACAGTGAAAAATCTCCTACTGGTCAGAAGATTGCAATAAGATCACATTTTGTTCAGTGAAAATTGAGTAAGTACCAATATATATCCATGATTGTTTGCATGCAACACTAATGTCCAAGAAAAAAAAAATTAACACAGGCACTATCTCTTCACCTGTAATGTAATCAAATTCCAATTTCTGACATTGTGAGGTTGCACCTGTCAACCCCTGAGCCCCTCCCACCAGGAGAGGCTTCTTTACTCCTGTTTTTCCCTTCACTCACATTAGTGAGGCTGGGCAGCCAAACAGATCCTGCTGAAGGAGCTGGCTTCATTTCTGCAGCTACTTTGCAAGAACAAAGTTTTGAGATTGATCTGATTCAGGGGAGGGCTATCAGAGGATGGCATAATATCTGATTATTTTGATGAATTAAGAAAGCTGCCACAGTTAAAATTACATATGTTAATTTGCACAAAACAGTAGTTTCTAATTTAAATTTCTTTTAATGTCAGAACTAAACACCAAATTGCTATTGCACATAAGAAAAAAGGAAAAAGCCAAGGGTTCACGCTTACATTACTTTGCTTGGCTCTGCTAGCTGATTTATACAAACGTAATATTTGAACTGAGGAAATTCTTTTTGTGTACTCCAGCGAGTTTCTCCAGTTTGCTCACAAAAATACAATAAGCTCTTGAGGTTGACTTGTTAGAGTTTCAGTCACAAACTAAGTGATCTTAGCCATAAAAGAAGCACTATTTTCCCTGGATACCTTTAGTAGGGCTGCCATATTTACTTGAAGCAACATTAATTGCTCTCAGATCTCTAAGTGTCATTGACATTGATAAATCATCCTTAGAGAGACATGAACAAATGAATCAAATGCTCATCATCACACTCAGAAAAGAAATAATAGACCAGGCTGCCTACTTATGTAACTCTGTGTCACATAAAGATTTCTTGATGAGCCATACAACCTTATCCAGTAAGGTATAAATCGTGTGACTAAGACATTGAAGAGACAGCTTAATAATAGAAAAGCATATAGCTGAAGTACATTGTAGAAATATAATATTTCATCTCTTTTAACACATAAAGTCTTTTAGTTTATTAGAGTCAAGTACAACTATTTGTTTGCTAACTCTACATTAACATAGAGAACATCTTCCATTTCCCCACTGTGCAAATATGATGAAATTATTATTAATTACATTGAAGTAATGTTTTTATAATTAAATTTCTTCAGAAGCATGTTAAATACTTTGCTGTATGGAAAAGTAATGGCCATACAAATATGTGGACAACAGCAATATTAGCTGTTAAATTTCTCCTTAGGAATTTTCTAACCCACCAACCTAAAAGAAGCCTGCTATATTACTCTGTATTGTCTTCTTTTATGATTTTACCTAACCTTGTATTTTAGAAAAAAATTAGTTTTTTTTTTTTTTGAGACAGAGTCTTGCTCTTTGCTCTTTCACTAGGTGCCAGGCTGGAGTGCAGTGGTGCGATCTTGGTGCACTGCAACCTCTGCCTCCAGGCTTCAAGCAATTCTCCTGCCTCAGCCTCCCTAATAGTTGGTACTACAGGCACGCACCACCATGCCCAGCTAATTTTTGTATTTTAGTAGAGACGGGGTTTCACCATGTTGGCTAGGATGGTCTTGATCTCTTGACCTTGTGACCCGCCCGCCTCGGCCTCCCAAAGTGCCGGGATTACAGGTGTGAGCCACCGTGCTCGGCCACGAAAATCAGTTTTTGTTTTCACTACGTAATTCTCTGCATGGTTTTTAAAGACAGAGAATATGATTTCTCTTTTTTTGGCAATAGTAACTTCTAAGAAGAGCATCTTTTCTCTCTATGAGCTAAGGAAGGGGACTAAATGGAGATATAGCTGTTGCCTTCCACCGACTGGGGAAAGAGGAGCAGCAGCAGTGAGCACTCCCTTCTCCCTCTGCCTTTCCTTTATCTATCTTTGAGCACCAGCTTTTCCTTTGTCCCGTGGACCATCTGTGTGCCTGTAAACGTCTACACAGACATCAGCAGATCCCAGCAATGGCCACAACAGCTGCCTGGTCCTTCCTAACTGAATGAAAACTCAAATTGCCAAGATTGCAAATAGTCTCTTTTTTTTTTCCCCCATAGACATATGCTACCTGGAAGCCTTACAATAAATTTCATGTTTTCAGTAGCATTTTATACACCCTCAGCAATTACCTGTATATCCATTTTTTGTGCTTTAATCTGATGACTTATGATGGCGTTTTCAAAATTTAAGTCTACAAACACTAATTTTGAGGAATGTTAGCAACTTTACATAAATTTACTGAACGTTTAGTATGTGTTTTACATGCATTTTCTTATCCAATACTCGAATTTTTGAAGTTTTATTAGTATGATTTCCATTTTGTGGATGAGAGAGGTGAGGATTAGAGAAGTAAGTCACATGGCTCAACAGGTTAACTGGGCAGAATTCGAACCAGGCAGTGTGATTCCAGAGTTTATACTCTTAAACAATATACAGCTGTTAGTTAAAAAAGCATTTGTTGGGGGACAGAAGTGGTCAGTGAATTTGCAAATGAAGAGGTAAACCCAATTGAACAAACTTCTTTCCTGCAGTATTTCTTAGAGCATTTAATAGACATGCCCATTAACATTGACTTTCTAAGGTGGAATTTAATATGTGTATTTTTCAGACATATTGATCCTCATACATCTCTCATGTAATTAATGTTCCCCACACAGCACTTTGGGAAAGACTGCCTTGGTATGTATTTTTAGAAACAGAATTGTTGGGTCAACCCAATTACACTTTCCACTGATTCTTTTTAAAATTATGAATGAGTCACTATTCTTTAGCAAATGAGAATCTCAGAGGTTAATGATCCCCTCGGGGGGTGATGGGAAACTGTAGTTTGACTCAGAAAATATAGCAGGAGAAATATATATGAATAACCATATTATAGTCTATACTATTTATATATAACTATATAACAAAATAGAGTAGACAGAGTCGTGTAATTGAGTTGTGAGTTTATTATTATTTTTATTTCCTTTTTTTTTTTTTTTTTTAAATTTTGAGACAGGGTCTCACTCTGTCACCCAGGCTGGAGTGCAGTGGCATGATCATGGCTTACTGCAGCCTTGACCTTCTAGGCTCAAGAGATTCTCCCACCTCAGCCTCCCAGGTTGCTGGGACTACAGGGAAATGCCACCATGCCTGGCTAATTTTTTATTTTTTGTAGAGATAGGGGTCTCGCTATGTTGCCCAGGTTGGTCTTGAACTCCTGAGCTCAAATGATCCTTCTGCCTCAGTCTCCCAAAGTGTTGGGATTACAGGCATGAGCCACCATACCCAGTCTTTTCTTTTTCTTTCCATACTCCACTTCTAGGAGAAAGAGCAGAATAAGAAAAAGAAATGATGCTAATGCTCAATATTTACAGTGTGCAGAGTACTCTGTTATGTATTGTCTCATTTGATTCTAACAACACACTTTGCTCTAAAGCAAAGGCAATGTGACCAAAAAGGTTTAATTGCTAGGAAATGGTAGACCTGGGATTCAAACTTGAGGCTCTGACTTCCAGTTTAATTATTCTTTTACAATTCTGGTAGTACTTTCGAAAATTAAATGCCAGGGGTGTCTTTTAATTAAGTAATATTCAAGCCAATGTTTAATACCTCCAAATTTTATGGCCCAGAAAAAGCTGCTGATCAGACCAAAGATCCTGGTGCCAAAGGGAGAGGCTCAGCCTCCAAGTGCTTGAGCCTGAACGTCTGTTTCAAACGCTGGCTCTGCCTCTCACTGTTGTTTTAGTACTGGGAAAATAATTACACCTCTTATTAAGTTACCTTGTCACCAAAAGAAAATTAAATTATATTTAGTAAATTGCACCTGCAAAGACAGACAAATGGCCAACATGGGTTTTTTTGTTTAAGCTTCCAGAAAAAGGATTAACATAGATTTTTCATTAACATTCAGTTAATGAGAAATACTTAACTATCCGTAGTGGCTTGTTTCTCCAAACACTTTTATCAGTTGGTGTTTAACTTTCTTCAGCGACTTTCTTGATTTATACCTGCTATGGTTTGAACATTTGCGTTCCCTCCAAAATTCATATGTTGAAACTTGATCACCAGTGTGATAGCGTTAAGAGGTGTGACCTTTAGGAGTCATGAGCTCCTAGACTGAGTCATGAGCCCAGATCCCTCATCAGTGGGTTGGGTTCCCTTGTTAAAGAGGTTCAAGGGAGCTGTCATCCCCTTTTTGTTCTTTTGCCCTTCTGTTTTTCACCTGTGAAAATACAGTGTTCATCTGCTTCGGAGGATGAAGCAAAATGCCATTCTGGAATGAAAGATTGGGCCCTCACCAGATAAGGAACCTGCTGATGCATTGATCTTGGACTTTGCAGCCTCCAAAAACCATGAAAAAATTAATTTCTATCATTTATAAATTACCCAGTTTCAGACATTTTGCTATAGCAGCACAAATGGAAATGCCCTTTAAAG